CCTGATAAACGAACTATACTCATATGTGAGTAAAATGCATAATCTTAAAAATGAGGTAGAGGGAGAAATGTTTGAGAGAGAGATGTTCTTAGGTTACCTTAAAGATTCAAATCAAGGACCTCCGGGTTTGTAGTAAGATGGTCTAGTCAGGGATGGAGAGTCACGAAGCTTTATTATGTGGCCACTAGAATGTCACATTTTTACACACATTCCATTCATTTAAAAGTTTTAAGATATAGCTTAAAAGCTTTGTCGGTCTCTTAACTAAGCTATTTCGACCCTATTTTCCAAATTGCAACCTTTTGTACCATTGAAATTGGAATTTAGCATGTCACGCTGGTCATAATGGAACACAATATATAAAGTTTTTTTTGAACGCCTTTTGGTATGGAAAGTACGGCAATAGCGGTTAGACCATTCTACTACGAACATGAGGATTATTGATTCGAATCCTGCCGGCAGCCAAAGAACATCCCTCTCACATATTTCCCCCTCCGTATCCCTTTTTAGACTATACATTTTGCTCTTAAATGAGTATATGATATTTTAATTTTGAATAAATGGATTTTTTAAAATAAGGCGCAATTTCCCTCAATTTTGTGTAACCCTTTCTAGTTATAGTAGTAAAAGCAATTTTAAAAACTTCAAATATAATAAATATATTTATATTATCAAAAAATATAATAATATAAATATAATTTAAAAGTAATCATAATCATTATATATTTGTAACGAGCATCAATGACCAAATATAATTTGCGTCAAATGAAGCTTAATTTGCATAGAGGATCATAAAATGATTTGTTGAAGATTAGTGTGAAAAATTTATGCGCTGTTTATTTTCATTTGAAAAACTTCAATTATATGTGCTTTCATCCTAAGACGAATATTTTAAGACAATGTTAATTAAAAAAAAACAAACAAATTTCTAAATTTAGGGTTTACAAATTTAAACACTTGTTTAAAAGTTAAAACACTTGTTTAAAAATTAAAACACTTGCTCAAAAATTAAAACACTTGTTTAAAATTTTAAAAACATTTACAAATACTTTAATAATTTTAACCTTATGTCTGTAGTTTTTCTGTTTGAACTCAGTGAAAACTGCATTAGTGTTCTAAGACGATGACTTCCATCACTGTGAAAGTAAACGCAAGTAACGAATAGTAAAATCAAATAAACTTGTTAGCTCGATTGCTAAATATTAAGTTAAAGATTCGTGATTATGGAAACAACATCATATTAATTATGCATATTCTGAAGTTTGTAAACCAGATGTTTCATGGATATAATATTTGTTTAATAATTTTAATCTCAATTTTTAAATATTAATGTGGAGCAGAATATATATAATAACATGTAATATTATTTGTACAAAGTTTAATCTAATAAAATAATGCAATGGAATTAAATTTTGTGCTAAAAATAGTATATGCAATAATAGTCTTCAATAATTAAAGATGCTTATCTATAATTGTTTTATTTTTATCACAAAAATGCTGCACTCTCTGAAAACTTGGCTTCAAAGTTAAACCATATTATATCTACTTTGAATCATAAAAAGAGTTTCAATTTGCTGCTGTCAAAATAAGGGAGTTAAATTTAACCATGTTATTGATTGGGTCAAGTTATAGTAACTGGTAATTAACTTTAAGAAATACGATAAGGTTAATCAACTATGCACCATATTAGAGGTCAAAGAAAATTTTAACAATATTTTTGGTCCAACATACAGTATAAGTGTTATGAATATTTTTGGCAGTTATTTAAAAATAAATTCTATACTTTTAACCACATTGGACTTGTAAACAAATAAAAAAAAATGCCTAACAAGCCATCTTTTCTTATCAAAGCTATTTTTTCTCATCTCATAAAAGCTTTTCGTCCGCGGATGTCACGCTACATAGTGTTACAATATATAGTCAAGGTTAAAACTTCTTTAAAAAATGCAGATTTGGTTTAGTAACTTACAAATACATGGCATTACTTTATTCATTTGAGTAGACACCCATGTTACCTTAACACTTAAGTCATTTAAGTAGCAGATTGTACAGTCTGGCAAGTACAAACCCTGAACGAGGCGCCTATCGATTAATAAAACCAAGGGGTACGACGGTTAATAAATTTTTAGAAATGCTGGTTTAATTATGTCATCAAATTTATATTTTTTAATGAGCATTATGTCATCAAATTTATATTTTTTAAGGTATCTCATACCACGTGTTTTGAATTTATTTGTTTCTTTATAGTAGCTTTTTTATAAAGTGTTTTTAAAAAAGTAATTATTTAAAATTAACGGTAATTGAAATGAAAAAAAAAATACTTTTGCATTAAAAGGCAAAATTAATGAGAAAGTGGTTCTAATTCGTTCAGGAGAAACGATAATTATGCTTCATTAATTTTTTAACGATAATTATGCTTCACTAATTTAGACACTGACGATAATTACGATTCATTAATTTAGGTAATATAAGGATATTTTATATTTATATTTTATAACCGCTGTTGAACAACGGATCTAAATTTGGGTTTACGACTACTAATGTTCAACTCCATAGCCTTTGAGCCGATCCAGAATATAAAGAAACTCTTGGCTCAGTATGATTTGTTATGGGAACATGGAGGACTTTGTGACTCAACATATTTACCTTTCACCAGTAACCATTTACTATACTCGCGATTGGGATCGAACCCATGCCGTCTTGAACATGGACCTAGTGCCTACCACCCAGGCTATCTCAGCCCAATATAGGGATAATGAAATAAAAGAGATAAGTTGTGTACTAAAAAGCAAAAGTAATGAAGAAAAGGTTTTAATTTGTCTAGAAGAACCGTAAAAATTCGCTATATTGTTATTGACGACAATGATATTTAATTAATGTTGGTAATATGTATTTGCTGAAATAAAAAAATTACCTACGTTCTAAAAATCAAAGTTAATGGATAAAATATACTTATTCGTTTTGGAGAACGGTAAAAAATCGCCATTTGCAGATGACGCTTAATTAATTTTGGTAATATGTATTACTGGTATTGTGGTTATTGGTGCAGTTTTGATAAGAGTTCTGAAACGGCTTTCCCTTTGTTTCAGAAAATATTTTTTCTATTGGTAGAAAAGCTAGTGTATTAATATTTGAATGAAAAAGAATTTAAAGAGCATTTTTCCACCACTACTTATATTTTAAAAGGCAGATAGAGATCTAAACTCTTTATCTAGTTATTCTAAGAATTCGATTTTTTTTATAAAATTCGGCTTTAGTTTGCTGCTACTGAGAAATGGTGTTCGCACAAAATGTAAATGTATAAGGGTTATGTAATATGTACCAAAAATAAGTGTTATAAGATTTAAAGTAAGTATTACATTGATATATTTGGGGATAATTAAAACCGCGCCAATACTATGTTTACCTGGTTGCCAGTTTTAATACCGAAATTGTGGAAGTAAGTGTTTTGCGGCACCTTGAAAGCGATATGTACTGGATAAAATTACTTGATGGTGTTAAATTTTGACTATCATTGGTTGACAGCAAGCAATATCATCACGCCAAGAGATGCTAAATATAGTTAATCTCCATTCTTAACTGATAATCTACAAAAAACTAGTTTTGCTTAGTTTAATAACGTAAAGTCACCTGAAAGGGCAGCAAATAATATTAAATTAAATAGTTGAAATTATTTTAGCTTTAATTGAAGAACTTAGTGGAAAAACCAGGTAAGTGACATTTTCAGAGAGGCCGTATCCGAACTATTTTATTACCAATTTATTCGAAGACTGAACTAATAATTATCTGCCTTATTTTCTTTACCACTGCTTAATTTGAAATAAATATCATACAAGCATACTAAAAACTAATTTAGATTAGTAATATTAAGATTAAATAAACGCGGGAAAAACAATAATGTTACTTTAAACATACCCATATTGATGTAACCACTTTATGTTACTTCCTCGGATTTATTTGTTCCCCTAAAAATGTCACTTACCAGCTTCTTCCACTGAGCTCTTCAATTATGTCGGTATATGCCTTCAAATTTTGAGCATGATTTGTAGTGTTTTTCAGCATTGATTTAATGATCTCTTTTTTATTCACACTGCGCGAAGAACGGGTATTCATTTAGTATAATTACTAAAATTGTTCGCTTAAAATTAGCCTAAATCTCACTTTTTAAAGAAAGGTAGACTAAAAGTGAATAAAATGTAAAAGTTAAACTATATTTATATTAGATAAACCGTATTTGTTAAAATATATATACATATATATTTATAGTCATACTATAAATATATATACATATATATTTATAGTCATGCTATAAATATATATACATATATATTTATAGCATGTATATAGTCATACTATATGTATGTATACATGCATATTTATAGTAAATATTTATAGCTGCGGCTAATTACGGATTTGAATTTTCATACTCTGTGGATAAAAAATGTTTTCTGATAAATAATGCTTCATTTATTTATTTACAAGAATAAGGTTGGATGCTACTTCACAAAAAAATTTAACAATTGTGTAAGAAATCAGTTTTAATGAGTTTGGAATCACTAAGTGTAAAGCGTATGTGCAAATTTTATGCTGCTTATCTCTTATTAGAATTTTCAGAAAAATCTTAAAATTTGTTAAACAATTATTTTGATAAAAGCATATAGTTTCTCTATATCTACCTATAACTAATTATAAGTGTATATAATTATAAACAGAAAAAAGGTTTAATGATTTTTTTATCTTCAGAAAAGCACAAAGCCTTTTTTAAACAATGCACTATAAAAATCTAAATTCATTTCCAATGACAAGAAATAATTAATATTCAAATAACAGTTATGGAATCATGACACTATCATTATACGAAAAAGTAAAATGAGCAGATTTTAAAGTTTACAAAAACTGCAGAATGAAGTAAAAAGTTCTGAATAGTCGCTGAACTTTGATTTTTAATTATGATATGCTTGATACCTGCTCCTTTATATTTTTTATTTTAGTTAGGTTCTTATCTCGTATTTTTTTATCTTATAAGAATGACCTTCTACATAAGATTTTAATAGAGTTTACGAAGGAAATCTAATTTAACTTCTTCAGAACAGAAATGGAAAATAAAAACTTATGTGCGGTATTGAAAGAGACGGAAAAAATCTGCCTTGTAAGTTCATTAATTTTATTTTCGCTTTCATTTTTATAAGCTTTTTTATCCAATTATATGTTAGATTCTGATTAATTTATATTATTATTTTAATTAATGTTATTTATTTAAAATCTGCTAATGTATTGTACCAAAAGAATATTATAGGCTCGTTATTATTATTGCATTATTACATGATATTATTTTCACTTTTTACATGCTCAAAAATGTATACAGTTTTATTGAAACTTACACTGTTTAATTTTTAAAACTGGTTATTACTAAACAAATGCTTCATCAGCATTGGCACGACAGCCCTTTGTGAGCCTGGGCCTTCCTCAGAAGCTTTTCCCATTCTGTCCTTCTCCCAGCAATTGTTTTCCAGTTCTTTACTTTTAGGATGGCAAAATCCTCATCTACACAGTCCTTCCATCTCTTTTTGGGCCTTCCTCTTGGCCTTTTATTGGAGGGGGTTGCATTAGAGACTCTCAATGCTGTTCGTTCTGGGCTCATTCTCACAAACAAATGTTTAGTAATAATTTATTACTAAACAACTATTATTACTAAACAAATGTTTAGTAATATTTCTAACTTCTACCTATGTTTTGTCTATAACTGTCAAACAAATTAATACTAAATCGAGACTAAACACAATAGCATTTATTTAATTAGTTTTTGAAAAAATATTAAAACCAATCCAATTATTTTTTGTAAATATATAAAACACTTTTAATTGCTTATGATCACACGAAATACAGTAAAAATAAACAAAGTAAGATATTCTTAAAAATAACAGTAATCCTTTTATTTCAGAAAAATGTGTAATGCAAAATCCAAGCTGCAAAACGCTAAAAATATGAAATTTTTTTAAAATTGTTTACTTTAGTTTGTAGTTATAAAAAATTTAATTCTGTTTTTTTTTATAAGAATTTATCCATTTAGTTAAAAAACTGTTTTGTTATTAACCGAAGGACTTATCTAACAGAAAGTTTAGAAAAAAATTAGAAAATCCCTTAGTAAATATCTCTTTTAGACTTGAAATTTTAACTCATAAATAAATATTTTTAACAAGAAACATTAAAATACTGTTATTTTTTTGTATTTTTCTACCATTGTTTAAAAATAATTATTATTCAATAATAGGAGTACAGAAAGGTAAAACAACCACTATCGAATGGTAAGTATTTCACAGTTTCGTAACTTATTTTTTTAAAGCCCTCAATAAATGTATGTTTCGGCTCTGATGATGGTACTGTGGTACCAACTGCAATCATTCGTCATTCGAACTTGTTTATTTGTGCTACTTATGTTGTTTAGATGTTCAATTGTCATCATCATAAATTTATCTGCTTGGGCTTATTACCTTTTTTTATAGGCTTGATCATCCACCTGACAAGCTTGTTTAATTTATTTATATTTTATAATCGGCATTAAACTGGCAAACCATTTTTGAATTTGCTTCTGTTAATGTTCTTCGGTTACCAGATCTATAGCCTTGTAATTTTCAATCCTACCCAGAAAACAAGGGAACTCCTGGATCAAGCTATGGGACGAGCTATAGCTTCGTTACTACATGGCAAGTTTATTGGAATTTTTGTTGGAATCAACCACATTTGCCTTTAAAGGGGAGAAATGCTGCGATAATTTTTAATGGCTAGCCAAAAGGATAGGGAGTTCTCACTCGTGATCCGTCTACCACTCAGGATATTTTATGTCACCACTGTAGTAGATGCGAGCTGGGAGCAGAATTCATATCGACTTGTCATCTCAGGGATTAAAATTTCTGTCACCTCATTAGGAGACGAGAGCTCCATCTCTGAGCCACTACGGCGTAGGCAACTTAGTTTTTGATTTTATTTTATAAACGGCGTTGAGCAGCCGATGCAATTTTGAGTTTACGACTATTATTGTTCAACTTTGTAGTATTTGAGCCTAACCCAGACAACAGTCTTGGATCGATCATTGGATTATACTAGCCTTCTTCTGGACTTTTTGAGGGAGAGGAAAGCAGCGAAAACCTCCCACGCAAAGCCTGATGTCAAGGGTATTCCAACCCATGATTCGTCTACCACTGACTCTATTTTGCGCCAGTACTGTGGTAGGTGTGACCTGGGAGTGGATTTAATATTGACAAAAGACAAGCTATAGTTCTATTGCTAGTATTTAAACTTGGGAAGCAAGTGCTCTATCTCTTGAACCACCATGTCTCTCATGCTGAGTTTTTTTTTTTTTTTTTTTTTTTTTTTTTTTTTTTTTTTTTTTTTTTNGTTTGAAACACGCACTGTAACATTTCATAGGCTGGCTTGTTTGGGATTATTACATGATGGTCTGTTTATCAAGGTTGTTTTTTTGTGTTTATGACGTAATATATTTGTGCTGAATAGCTTGCCTATCAAATTTATTTGCTTGTTACTACATTGTTTATATGTTCGACCGCTTGTCTGTGGAACCTGTTTATTTGTGCTTAATACATTTTTATATGCTCTGCCACCTGTGAACTTGTTCATTCATTTTTATTACTTCTTGTGGGGTCCTGATTATCCACTGGTGGATTATCCATGGCGTCGATTATCCGCGAGTTCCACGAGGAGGTGGAAAATTGTATAGTACGTGATCGATTCTCGACCCAAGTTGTGTAAATGAATACTTTTTTTTTTTTTTATCTATGACCACTTTCATGATGTATGTATGTAGTAGGTACCATTCTTTTTCCTACCGTTTGTTATTTCAGTGATTTCGACGTAGAGCAAAGATTTCTTATTGATGTTTAATTGATAGATTTCATAAATTCTACTAAAAAGATTTCAAAATAATTGTTCAAGTTTCTGCCATATTTTTTGAGTTTCGTTGTATTATCCGTGATTTCTTTGTAATCCGCGGTGCCTTTTCCATCCAATTCAGCGGAGAATCGGGACTCGAATCGGGGTCAAATTCACCGACTCGCTTCTCAAACTTGGTTTTTCCTGATTATTACGTTATTTATTCGGTCAATCGTCTGGTGCTTGAACTTATTCATTTGCGCTTTTTCTGTTGTTTATATGATTGTTCGTTTGTTTCACAAACATTTTAACTATGCTTATTACGTTTTTTACGGATTATTTTACGCAAAATCAGGCACTTTTATACCAATAAATAGAGTGGAATACTTCATGTAAACTTTGGACAGAAAAAAATAAGCGTCATTACTTTTAATATTAGCTATTTTATATATATANAGCCTGGTTGGGAGGACGTTGGACTCGTGTTCGTGAGAACGGGAGCTCACGTCCCACCGACCGAAGCACTGGTACACGTTGAATCTGTAGGGGTCACAAAGTTCTTCAAGTTTCCATAACAAATTAATACTTCTCGAAGTACTGAAATGGAGACTGATTATTCTTTGGTTCAGATCAAAATTACGATCTGTGGATGAAGGAATGGATGTAGGAATGAATCCACTCTGTAAAACGGGCTGTGACGTTTGTGTGGCTGAAATCGTATTCTTGGCCATAGATGGCGCCACTGAAAAGCAGGAAAAGCACCCTCTGCCATAAATTTGTTTAGTTTCCCAAGTAGGCTTGCTGGTATTGGCGATTGGCAATAGAAACAAGAACAAAAAATAGTTATATTACCACAATACTTGCCTACAATATGCGGAGGCAGTTTAAAAGCTGGAGTATTTAATAATAGTTTCTTGTTTCTTACATCGTACCATAGTATTTATAATAATATTCATAGTACATTATTCTATTAAAGTATTTTGCGTTACATCTCTATTATTCTCAGAAGTTTTAGTTGAAATTCACTTTGTTGGAATTTGCGGTTCTGATATCCACTTCTGGAAAGACGGAGCCATTGGCAAAAATAAAATGACTTCTCCAATGATGTTGGGTCATGAGTTAAGCGGCGTTGTTATTGAAGTTGGTGCGGAAGTAACACGTCTGAAAAGAGGTAAGTTTATTCACTTTTCTTCAAATAAAAAACTGCATGCAAATACTATATATTAAAAGTTTTTTCCCTTCTACTTCAAACATTTAAAGAAATTTTTTTAATTTGTAAGTTGTTTAGAAATTGATAATAAAGAAAGCATACCCTTATTAGGTTAACTTTAGAAATTTGTCTAACATCGATGGTACACCTAAAGACGCCAATCGAACTAAAGAAAGAGTTATTCCGGAGAGGATGCATTTGTTTAAAATTAATCACTTTGATTGATTTTAAGCAAATTTATTATCTCCAATGATGCATATTTTAATTGAGCATTAATTGGTTTGAAAACGAATGCTAGGATTAGTATTCGCTTTCAAAACGAACTTAAAAACATCTATTTTATAAAAGGTGACAGAGTTTGTATAGAACCTGGTGTTCCTTGTCTCAAATGTGACTACTGTAAAGGAGGACGTTACAACCTTTGTCTGAGTGCTAAGTTTTGTGGAACGATAAAGACTGAAGGAATGCTTCGTCGATATTATTGTCACAATGCAGATTTTTGTTTCAAGTAAGTGATGTTTAATTTGATATTACTTCTATTTTCAAAAAATAATTTCCACTTTTTTTATTATTAACCCCTTAACGATCGGTTAATTTTCAAGAAAACTGTCATAAAAGGGCCTATTTTTTGGCTTTTGTATTTGTATTACGTATTTGATTAGTGCTGACATCTAGCATAAACTAAACTAACTATCTACAATTACCTTAAAAATATCCTGTTACTGCCATTTGGTGTGTAAAATGAGAAATAAAATGTTTTCGGGGCAAAAGAAATAAATTAGTTTCATTCTTATTGGCGCGTTACTACTGAACACTCCAGCCCGTCAATATCACGAGAGAGAGAAATAAAGGGCGAAACCTCAACCCGTCATTTTCACGGGAGCGAGAAGGAAGGGGTTAATAATACATGTAGAGGAGAATTCTGTAGCTGAGCTCGGTATTAAAGAGAAAAATTTATTTAATTTAACTAAAGCTGCTTTATTATTAAGAAAAGAAAAAGCAATAAAAATTGAAAAGAATAATAATAATAACAGGAAATAACATTTAAATATTTTTTCTAAAAATTTAAATATGCGTAATATTTTAAACGTTTGCTAAATTGTTTTAATATTATTACATATAAAAAAGTTTATAAGTAGATTTTAGTTCAGTTTTTACATTCAAAATTAATACTTTTTCCTACGGAGAAAAGAACGATTTTCGCAGCGATTGAAATCCACTAGTTTTTTAATAAATCAAATATAATACGGTATTTTGTTAAGTTGTAAAGGGATTAAAAGCTAAGTAAATCGTTAGACGGGGAAAATAGTTTTTTCGCTAAATACGAGTTTAAAATAAACATAATAAAAAATATTTAGGAGCTAATGGTTTGTGTTTAAAGTTAAACTAATTTGCACTAAAATACATAGTTTTTATTAATATTTATATTTTTGATCTTGATATCAAAAACAATATTGAGATAGTAGAAACAATATTGAAACCTTAAGATATTAGCAATTTACGATCAGAAACTAAGTTTTTCTAAATAATAAGTGAGCAAGAAAGCTGAGAGGCAGAAACATTATTTTAACTTTAAAATAATCTGTCTGTTTTTCTTCTTACTTAGACCAATCTTCTTGATATTGTTGTATTTTTCAATAACAACATGATGAATAAGTCAAGATTATATTTGAAGATAATATAAGTTAAGATAATAATCAAAGTAGAAATTTATTGCCAAAGAAACAGAAACTACACTGTAAAAACTATTTAATATTTGCCCAAATTCGGTGCTGTAAACTCCAAGAAATCTGTGAAGGAATACTTTATTTTAAGTTAATATCGAATCGAGTGTTCATTACCCATTTTAAAGTGCGTAGTTAAATTAAAACACAAATTTTTGAAATAACTTATACCAAGCTCATATGCATTTACTCCATTCATGAATTATTTTCGCAATTTTACCATGCGTTGATATACTGTCAGATGGAAAACTTAGATTCTAATTACAAACTAATTACTAATTAGATTCTAAAACTTAGATTCTAAACTACAATACTGCACGAGAAGGTGAACATTTCACAGAAACAGAAGTAAACGGTTATAAAAGGCTCGCGTGTTTTTAGTAATAAAAATAAATTATTTTGTGGTTTTATAGTAAAGATAAAAATGTTCTCATAAGAATATTTACACAAATCGATCAATTGTATAAAATAATTTTGTAATGTTTAATTTCTATTAACTTCAGTTTTGATATGTCTAGTTTGAATTCTTTTTAATTTTCTCTCTTTGTCGGATGTATGCTAGATTAACACTCTTCTTTTGCTTTAAGATAAGTGTTTAGATAGATATGCGTCATTATTTATTAATTCTTACTTTATATTGTATCGTAAAAATAAATTTACTGACTCTTATATGCATCATATCCTATTTTAATTTTAAGTTTTACTGTTACTGAATGCGAGAAATGGTGGCAACTACTTTTCCCCAATGTTCTTAGAGTAGTGTTGGTCTTATACTACACTAAGAAGCAAGAGTTATGTATGGTGTTTCACTACACTGTTTTGGTGCAAAGTTAGTTGTTCCCATTTTATGTGTTGAGATTCACTAAAACTTTTTGCAATATAGTTCATTAGAAATAAAAATTGTTCCATTTGTTGTGTTGAGATTCACTAAAACTTTTTGCAACATAGTTCATTAGAAATAAAAATGAATTATCTTCTTCTTCCGTTAATTCCCCATTTGCTGATTCTTTTTATCAAAAAAATTTAGGAGAAAAAGATTAAAATTTCAAATTTGTTGGTTGCTGGAACATTTTACGTTGAGAAACTTATTTAAATCCTATTTTTAAAATCCTATTTCTCTAATTTTTTTTCCTGATTTCTTTCGCACTTAGTTTTTCTACACTGAACTCTAGCTTGTTACATTATTTAGCACAAATAAGTAGTAGTTTTTGGTGTAAATTATTTAGTTAATTTTTGATTTCTTTCCTTCTGATACAAAAAGAATGACGGAAAGAGTAATATTTTTCGTGACGAATTTCAAGTATCAGCAATCGAATTATCGATAAAACAGTAATAAAGAAAATGAGTGTTGTAACGTACATTATTTTTAAACAAAAGTAAATAAGTTTAAAAACTGAATCATACAATAAATAAATATGAATAAATAAATACGAATAAATAAATAAATGTTTTTGACACAAGTTACATAGGTTATTTATCACTCAGAGACTAAACATACTTTTTTAATCATTTAGTAGTGTTAAATCTTAAAAAATATGAATATTTGTTTTTGAACAGATACAGTTATTTATCTATGAAGCGATTTGGAGTAAAAATTTTAAAAACTCAAAAAATTGAATTAAATGATTTAACGAGGGATACATTAAATTAGATAAATGGAGAGGTCTAATTTTAAAATGAGAATTGTTTTCCTTTATGACGAACAATAATTTACTACACTGTAAACATTTAGAATATCTCCACATGGTGACCACTACTTTAAATCAAAGTGGTGAAGTGAAACATCAAATATAACTCTCGTTTCTTGATATTTCATAGCACAAAGAGCCTAGGATTGTTCCTAATGTAATGAAAAACCATGAATATTTTTTTATGTTACTTGGCATAAAATAGCTGCCACTATTTTTAATATTCAATAGCATTAAAATTCATAATAACAGTAAGATATGAGGCCCATAAGAGTCAGTAAAGTTATTTTTATGGTACAATTTGAAGCAAGAATCATTAATATAGAATGCACTAATTTTATTTATATAATTAGCTTCTTAATAAAACATGCACAAAGAGAATACTAAGATGAATTCGAACTAGATTTAACAAAATATTGTAAAATTATGAAATACAATTTTCAGATATTTAAAAATAAAAAGATTATTATCCTTACTACACAACCAAAAACATGCACATATTTTGAAATAGTTAAGCTTTGTTTCTGTAGGTGATTAGTAGCCTAAAAGAGAATATTAAATTCTCGCCATCGATAAACAATCTACTGGCAATATACAAAGTATGTCAAACTTGGTTTTGGATGTTAAAATAATTCAAAAATGGTGTGAATCAGCTAAACTTGGTTTAAAATTTCTCCATTACTGGAATATAGATTTGACTGATCACTTTAAACGTTTAATTAGGCGTTAATTTGAAATGAAGTGTTTCTTAACACAATAATTTGAGTTGTTCAACTCTAAATACGAAGAGATGCTAAACCACATTTTTTTTTACAGTCTAGGTGTATTATTTTGATATTTGTTATTTTTAGGCAACAATGTTTTTCTTTTTCCATATGTCAGATTACCAGATAATGTTACTTTAGAAGAAGGGGCTTTGGTAAAGCCATTATCTGTTGCCATTCATACCTGTCACCGAACTCGAGTTAGAGCAGGAAAATCTGTACTCATATGTGGGGCAGGTGAGTATAAATTCCGCAGGTAACAAAATGTGTTTACTTTTTCAAACGAGGCATTATTTTTCCGCAAATTGAATTTTTTCATATTCTGTCTCATTAGGTAATTAAATTAGCATTATTTGCCTTATTTTTTCCAATATCAGACTGAGTGAAAAAAAAGTTGCAATGTCTTTAACCCCTTCCTTCTCGTTCCCGTGAAAATGACGGGGTGAGGTTTCGCCCTCTATTTCATTTTTCGCTCCCGTGATATTTCCGGGATGTAGTGTTCAGTAGTAACGCTCCAATGAGAATAAAACCAATGCTTTTTTTTGCCCGGAAAAAATTTTATTTCTCATTTTACACACCAGATGGCAATACCATGATATTTTTAAGGTAATTGTAGATAGTTTATTTCAAACTAGATGTCAGCACTAATCAGGGATACAGGGATGAAAAAATAGGCACTTTTATGACCGTTTTCCTGGAAATTAACCGATCGTTAAGGGGTTAATAAAAATACCTCCAATTTAATTATTCCGATTAATGGTTTACTGCATAGATTTTATGATGATCTTGACAACTTAAAAATGCGTACCGTCAATCTGAGTAGCTTTGCCTTTAGGGTGAGTTTGTCCAAAATCCAGGGTTACTTTGTCTTTTGCTTTACCGAAGAAATATTTGTTCCCAAGCAGCAGTCATTCAATGACCATTAAATGCTCTAGAAATCATCAGGATTGTTAGTTCTAGTGTGTAAGTTGAAGCTTTTTTAATGTCATCATATCCTGTCTGTGTGAAACTAAAAGTGACTGCGAACAAGCAATTTTAGTACTGTAGCAACTTTGACCCCACGAGCCCATAAGGATTGCTATTAAGTTTTTCATAATTTTCCTATTTTTGTTGGATGTAATAAATACAGAAGTGGAATGTTATTACTTTAATTTTCATCTTACCACTCTGTTAGGTATGTTACTCCTTGACACATAAAAAAATTGAGATTATGTTTCCCACCACTCACTAACTGTCACGTTGATCAGCCTGCGTAGGGACTGAGGGTGCACGGTATCGGTCCTCAAAGTGTTCGAATTTATGCGCAGGTCGTTGTACTACTAAATCAAAGAAGTCTTCCCCCCTGCATGCAATTGTAATGGCATGTCATCTGATCATCTTTAGAGATGTTTCCCAGACAGTCGTCTATAGCCCATTGAGCTGTTTGAATAACGTACTACGTGAATAACGTACCTACAAACCTCGCTAACTGTCTGAAAGTGCCAAAATGACTTGTTTGTAATAATTACTTTAGCAGCGATCAGGCATTTCTACTCACGACTCTATCAGTTCTACTAAGAAAATTAAAACGGGAAAGGGAAAAAAAATTGAAATTGATAAAAGATTTCTGAATTTCCAAGAAGAAGACACTTTCTAATTATGTAATTTCCCGAAAAAATGTTCGAAGCATTTCATAGCAAACTTTTTAATTACTTGTGACCATGACAACTTGGAACTCACCTATCTGAGAACTAAAGACGAAGAGAAAACGTGTCCCTAATAAAAATTTGAGTAATAAAAAAGTCATTAGAAATAAAAACCAAATATTCAACAACTGTTCTCAATTTTTTTTCCATCTTTCTTCTATAAAAGGTACCATTTCCCAGAAGTTAACGTAAGAAGCAGTTTTTAACAGAAAACCTCTGTGGGGTGGGATAATTACTCCATTGAGTTTGTTATATTTTTTATGTTTTACTGAAACTAAGCTTAACTAACAACTTAAAATAAGAGTTCCTACTTTTTTGTTGTTGTTCGTATTAAATATTTAATGATACTTATTTAAAAGTACTCTACGTCTAGAAACGGAATCAAAAAGTTTAAATCCTTCTAGAAAGAAACTTTTATAAATTTGTTTTAAAAAAAGACAGCTTTTTTCATCATAAAAAAAATCCCGAACAATAACAATACGGTATCAGTCTTAATTTCTGTGTATTTGTAAATTAAAATTTCCCGTTTCTAATGCTTTAATAGCATTGTTATTTTATTGCTTTAACTGCAATGATTTATTGCTTTAATTGCAATGATTTATTGCTTTAATTGCATTGTTGTTTAACTGCACTCCCTGAATTTGTTGAGGAACAACCGAAACAACTGTGTGAAGCAGCACTATATTTCAAATTCACTTCAAATCAAGCTTCCATACATAGTTTAAAGTACGCAGTTAAATGCAAATAATAGAAAAACATTTTCACCAAATTTACATGAATTTTTGCAATTTGAGATTTGTTTTTGATTCCGAAAACACCAATTTTAGCGTACTTGGACATCGTTATTAAATTGTTTACAATCGAGTATGAATTCAAGTGTGATTTTGTTTTGTTGCTTGCTTCTATGCAACTACGGACGCGAAAGTTACAGTTAGAAAATTAATTTAATTTTTAATTGATCAATGAGAGCTACATTTAATATTAGATAAATTTATAAATATTTTTTAACTGAATAAAATAATTTATGAAAGTTATTTACTATATCGGTTTTGTTTTTGAAAAAGCTGAGTTCAAATTCGTTTTGATGTTCTTTTCATGCTATGCATATGCTTGGTAAACAAATTAAATTTATTTTTAGAATTAGTGTGGGTGTGAACCCTTCACTAAATCTTTTTACTTATAACTGTATCACAAAGATAACTTAACTGAAAATTTTGTGTATGATATCTCATTGTTATAAATTTTAGTGTTATTGATGTTAAAAATTAGAGCAATTACTTTACTCCAGAAGTAGTAAAAAGGAACATTCTAAAAGGAACATTGTTATTTTTTGAAGTTTATTGTTATAATTTAAAATTTTAAACCCATATTATTTTAGGTCCAATTGGCTTGCTTCACTTGTTAACATGCAAGGCAATAGGTGTCACTAAAATATGCATCACAGGTAAGAAATATCAATGAATACATTCTAAATGCATAGAGGGTGTTCCGTAAAGACGGCCCCTAACACGTATATTTAGAATCCTCATCAGAAACGAAAACAAGAAATTCTTCACAATATGGGCTGTAATCTGATATTTAGATAAAGAAATACTAACTTTTTTTAAAATTTTATGAAATACGGCACATGAAGTTGAATGTAATAAACAACAAGACTGGTCTGCTTGCGAGACAAAGGAATTAGAAACCATTATTAAAAGCACCTCCTCTCCCTCCAATTCAAACTGTTTTGCTGTTTATTTCGTCGATCTTTCTCTACTGTGATTGGTTAAATATTGATAAAAATTTTTTTGTCGATTAAGTATTAATTTGCGACTCGAAAAGTGTAGTAAATGTTTCATTTTTATATTTGTTGTGGATTCTAAGTGTATAAATTAAAGGTAGTCTTCATGGAACATACTGTTTGTTCTAAAATAGGAGATAGAAGTATATGAAAAAAGATATTACAAGATCTAATAGGAAACGATAAAGCTCTCGTCTTCCAATGAGGTGACCGAAGTTCAAACCCTAGCGATAGCTGATCGATACGAATTTTTCTCCCGGCTCGTACTGACCACAGTGTTGACGTAAAATATCCTTAGTAGGCGGAGTGACACCGGGTGGCTGGGTGGTAGCGAGACGCGCTCTCGTACAACAGGAGCTGGATTCAATCCTAGAGACCGGCAAGGCTGACTCAGCCTTTCATCCCTTCAGTGAATCCAGAGACTAATATAGGGGCCTTTATATCTATGAGTGAATCGTTAAATAACTACCAAGCCAGCTTGGAGACTAAACACTGGGGGTTCAGTGTCCGGTTGACCACCCAACTGGAACATCTGCTCCTGCACCTCAGAACCCTAGGTCAAGAAAACTGAGAAAGGTATTCCAGGCTTATTCCCTCTATGGGCTGTGGTGCCCCTGAGTTGAGTGTTTTTAGTTAGTAGACTGATAATGGGCTAGAACCCTTTTGCCACATGGCAGATTTTCATGTTTTTTTTTCTTGTTATAACTTAGGTGTCGGTTAGTTCTATCAAGAATCCTTCACTAAGGATTGTTTGTCTAAATACTTGATCCGACTGTCTCCTTGTCTTCTCGATTGGGCTCATAATTATAAAGCTACGAAGTTGAACAATGATAGTTTTTACCTAAAAATGATTAGCCTCTTCAACTCCAATTATGATGTAAATTAAAAATGTATGTTTTTGAATTGAAAATAACAATAATATCATATTAAAAAAAATGATACTTAAAGTTTTATCAAAACAAAAAGTATTATGAATGTAAAAAACTACAAATTTTCAAAAAACAAATTTTTTACTAGTTGTAAAAAAGATGATTTCAAAAATAGAAATATTTGAACTTAAATTGCAAATTTGAAACAGCATTTACAGTATTGTAAATTGTTGGGTCATTTTTAGAGTTATTTTCCGGAATCATTTGACTAAATATGCTAAACATCACTGAAATTCGAAATGAAAAGATTATGAAACTAATCTTCCTTATTTGCATTAAATTCATTTTTAAATCAATTAATATTTCCCGTAAATCGATGAAGAGTGATTGATAGAAGGGAATAAAAGAACGAAATTTATAATAAAAAATATTATTATAAATTAAGTACATAGCAAAAACGTTTGAAAAAGGAAAGTGATAGAATTTGCATTAAATTCAAGGCATCGACAGCCGAAAAAGCTTTTGAAGCTCGAGCCATGTGAAAGCATTTTTAAAGTTAGATAAGCGGTTAAAAGACATGATGCCCTTCATGGATATCACGCAAGCATTATTTGTCCCCACATTTCCTCCCAAGTAATTAATTTCTAGAAATAAAAAATCGAAATCATTCCCCATCCATTATCAAGGCCAGATCTTGATTCATTCTATTTCTGGATATTTCTAGAACTTAAAAANCTTGGGGGGGGGGGGGCGACATTTCCTGCGACAGCACTTTTGTCTCCAAGCAGTCGAAGCGGAATCAAAAGTTTCCTTCTAATGCTTTGATGTTCGTTTTTCTTCTTATTTATTCTTGACTATGAGGGGACAAGCGTATCGCGTGCGAAAGGTGTTTACTTGTATAAATACATAGCCAACCTGGACAATAATCACGAAACTTGCTGCAAAATAATTTTTTCCTCATTAAATTTTCATCAGTTTTCGAATGTCGTATGGATTGATGACTTAAAGAGAAAAAAAATATCCTTAGGTTTGACACTAATACGATTAATATTGCTGAATTGTATACATAAAATATCAGTCTTGAAATTTTGAATTGAACAAAATCATTGACTTCGAGTAGAAGGGATTTACCTTTCTAGGGGCACCTTGGATTTTTTTTTTAACTTGTAAAAAAGTATTACAGTGCTTTAATATGCAGAATCATTCAATAAATGTATATTATTTTAAAATTTCTTAAAAAAAGTACGAACTTGTTTTTAGGAGTTGATTTACTTTAGTGATTAATTACCTAATTAACTTGTTTTGATCACACATGTGAGATGGCAAAAAATGTCTACTCTCAAAAAGATGGCAAAAGTCTTGATCCTCGAAATATAGTGAGGGGGCGTCTGCAGTTTGGAAATATATGATTCCAATAGTTTGGCCAGGAGAGCAGTTGAAAGTGCAAACTACATAATTCATTTACACTTATTTTTTGAGTATTTTGCCATATATTCGGTACTATTGATGTCCATGCAAAACTTTTTTAACATATAAACATGATTATACAATTTAATTAAGCTCATCCAAATCTGAATGGAATTATTTGGATAATCATTTAAAAATAAAATAATCCAAATAATAAGTCCAAATAATTCATCCAAAATAATAAATCCAAATAATTTGTAGTTTTTTTTATCTTTCAGATATTTTAATATGCTAAAAAAGGAATTGCAAAGTGACATGAATTTCTGTACTATTTTTAGCTACTTAATTTTAAATGACAACATTTGTAATTTGAAGGGAATGAGTTAAAAAAAAATAAAAATACGACTTCGTTGAGATGGCGAGTTGAGCAAAGAATACAATTAACGTTATAAGGTTTCACACTTTCCACTGCTCTACTGCCTTTAGTATCTTGACCCTATTTTGCGGATCAAGAATCTAAACCCGTTAAAAGAAAGGTATGTTTAATTAAATAAAGCACATTTTTGTACCTGATATCAGAAATTAAAATATTTCTCAAGACTAATTATTTGGCATATTTAACGTTAAACCCTCTAACAATTAAGATTGAATCTTTTTGCGGGCGCTTCTGATCTCTACATCAAAAGTAATTCAGGACATTTGCTTCTTTCGTGAATTAATTAGAAAGTTAAATTCACATCGTATACAATGGATATGATTATTTAAATACTCTTCTACGCAGCTCCCCTCTTACATGATCAAAACGAAACTTTGTTTTTTATAATAATTTTAGGCTCTCAATCCACGGTTTAATGACTAAAAAACCATCAATCATTTCTTCGTTGCTAATTAATTACAAGGCAGTAAAAAGTTTTTAAGCCATAAATGTTGATAATTTATTAAAATAATTGATCTCTAACAGACTTTCAAATTACTTAACTAGCATTTACGCACAGACCGGCTAATTATTAGATTTTTAATTAAATAGGTTTCAAAAATATAAATTAATTTTCACACCTCAATGAAGAATAAATTATGCAAGCTTAGCTCTTTTTTCATTTAAAACTCTACAGCCCGTAATGAGATTGACTTGCTGAACGATTTTGTTATAAACCTTTCTGTTGTTGTCCTTGAATTTCTGGTGTATAATTTTCATTATGTTTAGGTCTTTTGTCACATCATTTAGCTATCTCTATTTGAGTCTCGATTTCATTCGTATTCAATAATTTTAAGCATGTTTTTTTCGTTTATTTTTTCTACATTGCCCAACCCTACCAAATGCCTTATTCCATAAATCGAAGGAGGTTTCTTTCTTCGTTAAATTATGCAGTCAAGTTCACTATTGTGTCGAATGAATTATGGGAATTATTTACTTTAATTGATTCAAAAAGTCTCATTAAAATTAAGATTACCTCACGTCATGTGAAACATACTTTATTAAAAACGCATTGAAAAACATTTTTTTTCATAAAAATAGTTCATATAATATAAATCAGCGGTTTCCAACTGGCGGCCCGCGAAGCCTTTTTTTGTGACCCGCGAACTAAAATATAATAGTTGTCATTTTTTGGGAAGGAAATTTTCGTAAAAAATCTATATGGGTTTAAAATACTTTTCTCGTTAATAAAAACCTAATTTCTTCGTTTCTGTGAAATTTATCATACCAACGGTGCAAAAAAAATTATTTCTCAGGTTTTGCATCCAAGAAAATATTTATTCAAATTCAAAAATAATCTTGTATGTTTTCTCTTTTTCATTTCATTTCATTATTTTATGAATATAATTTAGCATGTGTGTATCAGAAATTCTCCGATTTAACTTTTTGAAACCTCTCATTTTGGACGATATTTACACATACATTTGTAAATTTTAGATTTAAAATGTAAATATCTTTTCTCCGGTGGTTGCAGCAGACAAACCTCAATTTCGTCAATGAGCATTATGTGTGCTACTATGTAAGTGTTAATAGCAGCCTTTTTAAAGTTTTATATCTTAACAATTAGGTATCTGTTGCACATTAATTGTTTAATACATGCGTGCACATTAAAGTTATTGAAGCCCGAATTTTTTAATATGCAATTAAATATTTTTGAAAATCTACTTCTTATTTTAATTTGTAATTCAATACTTTTGTTTTGTACAACTTGGTAAGAATCTGACAGTAATATTTAATGTTCCTTCAAGCTTAATAGAGTCCTACATAAAATGTTGATAAAGTTGCGGCCCGCCATTTGATTTGTGTTTTAAATTGTGGCCCCCGGCCTCATGTAAGTTGAAAACCCCTGATATAAATAATAGTAATCATTTCAGTAAATAACAGAATCAATGCTTTTTTTTTTCATGCAGATATATGCGAAAAACGCCTTGCAGCAGCTAAAAACTTAGGAGTAAATGGCCAAATCTGTGTGAATAATAAAGACTTGGAAAGTATTATTAAAGAAGTAGATTCGGTGTTAGGTGGAATGCCCGATATTACTATGGAATGTAGTGGCGCAGAATCTGGTATAAAGTTGAGCATCAAGGTGAATTTTTTCATTTATTCATTCCATTTCAGTTCACAATAAGCTAGTTTTCATGAGAATTCTGTGGGTCATATGAGTAGGGGAGAGTGGGGTCAATTGTAACAGGGTACGATTGTAACAGAGCAAAAATTTCGAGTGTCCGGTTCTAGATTTGGCTCCTAGGTGGCGCACAAGGTGTATTTAATAAATCTACATGTACACCCCTGCTGGCAACCATTTTTCTGTACTTTCGAAAGAGTTACATCACAAAAGATATTTTCACGCTACGTAAGTACTTTTTTTGGTATTAGAATATTATATTGCAACAAAGTAATTTTGTTTAAACAAATAAAAATTATTAACCGAATATTTAAGTGGACACCTTAATTGACATTTCAAAAAAAATATTAGTTTTTTTAATTAACTAGCATTGTTTNTATTGTAACAAAGTAATTTTGTTTAAACAAATAAAAATTATTAACCGAATATGTAAATGGACACCTTAATTAACATTTCAAAAAGAATAAGAATTTTTATAATTAACAAGCATTGTTTTTAACAAATGAAGCCGAAATGGCGTCTTGGGGACGATTGTAACAATAAGTAAAGGGACGATTGTAACAGCTGAAAATAAATAATCTTATGTTTACAAACCATTACTTAATCTTTAAGAACCACCAATAGTTTCCTATATCATTTATATTAAGTTGTATGTGCATTATTTTATTTGTCCCCTTTCACAGCATAAATTAAAATTTTTAGCCCCTTAAGGTAAAAAGTTTAGCCCCTTATGTCTCTGCTCATTATTATTTTTACTCCTAAAATATCACTACTATTTTGATCAATAAAAAAATATATTGAAGCAAAATTTATAT